CTAAGACCACGACGTGTTGTAGTTGTGTGTCTTATTTTGATAGAAATATTTACGCTTACCATAGCGACCAGAGAGCATTAAAGGGCAGAGAGGAGGATGTTACTCTCAATGTTATTGGCACATTTCAGGAGGACACTGCTAATTAAGTTACACAAATACATAGTGAATTTCCGTTTATTATTATATTTACCAAATAGCAAAGTTTTTGTCTTGGTCGTATGATTTTCTTTTGTTATATTTATCCTTGACACCCTAAAGCCTGGTCCGTGAAAATATTGTCTGACATTAAACCGGTCTGTGGTGCAAAAAAAGGTTGGGGACCGAAATCCAAAATTCTGCCACACCACTTTAGGATCCTGACAGTAACAGACCAGCTTGTATCGACTGTGGTGTCATTACATCTGGCACGATCTACAAATCTCCCAGATGTATTACATAAATATTTAGACTGTGTTATTTTTTTTCTGCCTAAAATTGTGTTACAGGACTTATGCGTTGGGATAACTTTGTTATTCTACTTTCATCATGGAGTGAAATGGATCTTTTTCTGGTTGGTGTTCTGGTTTTAGTCACAACAAAGTCAAAAGGAGCCGATTCTTCTGGTTGTGGTCACATTTTAGACTGGGCTCTACATTTTTGGTCCTCCTCCCAGTTGTAGATAATGGTAGAGAAAGGTTTGTGTGTCTGACCTGGGTTCGCCATTCAGTTCAGTCTGACAGCGAGCTGTGGGGTCACAGGTGTCCACCGAACAGGCGGAGACAAGCTGACAGCCAGACTCAGGGCTGCCACCTATAGGCGACATGCCGGACATACATGCACAACTGGACTGAGAGCCAGAGAGAGAAAGAGATGGAGAGAGAGAGAGGAGTTAAACAAAATGTCAGGATTTTGTTGCAAACAGCTTTTTCCTGACTCTTGGCAGGTCTCCTCACCTTGTTGGCTCCTTTGAAGACACAAACTGTGGAGTTCAAGGGACAGCCCCCGTTGTTATCTAAGCAAGGGTTCTGAGGTATACAGATTTTGCCATCGCCCAGGTAGCCGGGCTTACATGCGCAGCTGACCTTTAACCCCCGAGAGGAGCACTGGGCATTAACGTCACAATCCCTCTGTGAACAAACACCTGAGCAGAAAACGAATAAATAACCTTCAGATTAAATTCATAATGTTATCTGGGTCACTCCATTTAAACAATCAGTGCACTCCCCCCACCTGACCCCTCAGAATGAGCTGGGGCTTTTGTGCAATACCTTCAGTATATGTAATTATTCCATGAGAAATTACATTTCGTAAGAGTGAATGTGTGAGTCAACATTTTGTGCTTTTTAAGTCTTAAGTCTATTCTTTTAGCATTTTTGAGTCCTATTAACATCTTAAACATGGGCGATAGCCACGTGTTGACAGTCAATTTTGCACACACTTAAAGTCGCACACACTTCAATTTTCAGAAGTTTTAATTTCTGTAAATGACTTTGAATATCAATGTCATGTGAAATATCATAGTTTCAACAGTAAGACTGCGGCAGTAGCAGAAACGAGCACTGGCACCCCAGATGTTTGATCTGATTTTTGGTTAAAACAGCAGAAAGTCCATTTTGGGTTAAGTTTACAAGATCCTATCATGTGAGATGGGTGGTCGGTCAAAACAAATTAAAACACATGAAATTCTAACTTTTTTGTACCTACATGCTGATACATGGCTCATCTTCAAGCCCTACTTTGAGGATTTGTAAAATCCTCAAATGCTCCTCATTGTCTACAACTAGGAACAGGGCCATGAAAATTTTAACAGCTCCATTTAAAACACTGAAGTTATTGTATTTAATAATTTGCTGATTTTGAGGGGAACAGGAGAGATTTTTAGTCCATTTTTATTTTAGTTTAATTGAACAACTCATGTTATCAGCAATGTACTGTATATGTACATTGCAATGTAAGATTAAAATAGGCTGTGTGACATCACCAGTTTGCAAAGCCCAGTGTGTTTTTTTCTCTTTTTGTATAAAAAGGTTGGACGTAGCAAAGACAATATACCAATTAAAACTCTTGTATGCAAATTAATATTTTTTTCTTTTCTTTTAATTTGCCAGAAGGTTTATTGAAGACTCCAGTTGAAATGAGAATTTTCTGGCAATAATTTCATGGTTAAGGCTTTAAACAGTTAACATGTTCACTTGGCCATACACACGCTCACTTCTGGTAACAACAGCAGCATAAACTCAAAATTTTCACAAAATAAATTATTATAATTTTTTACTTGCGCATTTGTTCTGTGGCGTCTTCCTGTATCCAGGCAAACATTCACATACGGCGGCGTCTCCCTCTCCTTTACAGTATGAATACGGGCTGCAATTGTTGCACCTCCGATTCTCTGTCAACAACACAAACACGGCAGCAGCTCACTGCAGGCAGCAGTTTAACACAAAACAAACAGGTAGTGCAGGGAAACATCATTACCTGAGTATCAAACCACATTTGAGAAGACCTTTTCAGTCTACTTGTATTTTTAATTGCAGAAAATATATCCGTTATTGTGTTTCTAAAATCTTTCTTATTCTTTGATCAAAATAAAGTTGGGTTAGTTAATGCAGTTTATTACTTTGAGCTCACAACACAGCAACAATCTCTTTGTTTTATCTCTTAGCAGTAAATATTAAATACCAGTCTGGGTTGAGGCAGATCTTTTTCAGTTACAGAAGTTATTTTCAATCTGCTAATGAAACTTTTTTTTCTTAGATTTATACGGTACAAATTATTTATTAATGCAATTTACACTTCTCTCTTACACGATGCCAGTCTTGCTTTTACTGTTTTTAACAAATACCACTTTAATGTTTAGTTTGCTTTCTTTTTTATCAATTTTGTTTAGATATAAATTCCTACACCATTTCATAAAGCCCTTACCAGGCATCAGTGGCACTTTTAGGCTACGTCCACACGTACACGGGTATTTTTGAAAACGGAGATTTTCCGTTTTCGTTTTAAAAAATAATCCCGTCCACCCATAAAGGCAGAAATGAAGGAAAACGCTGCTATGAACATGCCAAAGCAACAGGTGGCGATATATTCCTAACCGTGTAGAAATGTTGGCCAATCAGAAGTCGGTGGGAAAAAGTAAACAAAGCTGGGGCATAGAAGCAGAAACGAGTCATATGTGTGGAGGGACAGTAACTGTGTGTGTATATGTAAGCATTTAAATACTGCAGAGAGTAGAATTAACAGTAACAGTATTGTAGAAATTCATTTCACCGAAACAATAACGTGGCGCACACTGTGACGTCAAAAAAGGCGCACATCTTTGACGCTGCGTTTTCTCCGTTTTTCTCGTCCACACGTGAATGCAAAAACTGAGTTTTAGAAAATATCCACCCTGGCCGGAGTTTTTGAAAATATCCGTTTTCAGTGACCAAAAACGCTGTTTACGTGTGGACGAAAGGTGCAAATGCATAGAAAAATCTGCGTTTTCAAAAATACCTGGGTACGTGTGGACATAGCCTTATTTTATCTGTGTTATGTGTTGTGTATTGTTGTCTGTGCTTTTGTTGCTCTTTATTGTGCTGCTGTAACAAAAAATTACCCTTGTGGGATAAATATCTATCTATAAACAGACAGCTACAGCATGCTCCGCAGCTTGTCTAATTCTATGGAGATGATGAAACTAAAATAAATGAACTGTATCATCTAATGAAACCCAGTAATATACATTAATAATGAGTGATGTTTCTGCTAATTTAATACAGTATATTTCTTTGTGGTATGATCTTACCTTGGTCACAGTTCTTCCCAGTGTATGGTGGCTGACACAAACACTCTCCATCACCTTCAGGACCTTTATTACACACTCCATGTTTACAGTCACACACTGCACACAGAGAGGCAGTTTTTAAGCAGATTTCAGATGTTCTTACAGCTTCATAGTAGTCTTTGAAGGTTTGACTTTCTGCTTTATTTCCTTTTAATGTGAAGAAACATTTCACTGAGCTGACCTGTTTATCTAATAAAATTAAAAACTCATTATGAGCACTTTCATGTTGGATGCACATTCCTTCCACCAGCTGTGTCTCTATGCACAAGAAACATGCTTGAGACAGCATGATTGGATGACAATGTATGTCCCCCTCAGCTGGGCTTCGATGTCAGTTAGCTATGTGTTTCTTTTGGTTGAGGCACAATGTTAGCTTCCAGGTGAAGAAAAATGATGATTTTATGCTCTCTAGGGCCTGTTAGATACAACATGACAATGACACCGCTTTCCTCTGAAGCAGGTGTTGTGACCAGCATTGAGTGCTGACTGAGATTAGTGTTGTTTTTGAGCTACTAGGGAGTAGTTAGTTCTACTGACAGCAGAAGTGTTTTTCTTTGACTTTGTTAACCATCTCCTTTTCTCTTTTCAGTATGTTTTTTTTGGCCTTTTCTTTTTCCAGTTATAAAATTGTTACTCGTACTTGATGTAACAAGTACACATAAAGACATGAGTATTTGCAAAAAGTGTAGTGCATGCAGACAACAGCAGATGCAATGCTAATTTTAGTTAGCCTAGCAGTCAGTGCAGCACATGCCGCTTTGCATGTGAAAGGACCTCCTACTTTCAAGTCTTGTTGAACTCAAGATGGCTGTCATTTTCTAACGGATGCTCCTCACTGAAGTAATAAAGGAGGATAAACGCAAGAGATACTTTTGACATACACTGTGACTGGTAAGCTGCTGCCATGAGGATGCTGCATCCCTTTGTTTTAGTGTCAGAGTGACCCCTTCTCTTTCACATCTACATCAAAACATATAAATGTTCAGCTTGAGGCTTTAGAACAGGATATGAACCAATGGGTGATGAAGTATACAGAGTCCACAGTTGGTGGATGCAGATGAAAAGTTGCTGATAAGTTTTTCTAAATGTTTTTATGCATTTTGACCAACACAAGGTGAGTGCAACTTAATTCCATTATATTGAAGAAAAAACAACAATCTCATTGATTGTGGCTCAAGAGTTCTTCTTGTAATCGAAAGCTGGTTGCCAGTCGAGCCCCGGCTCGGACAATCTCGGTCGTTGTGTCCTTGGGCAAGACAAGGCAGCTGTGGCTACAATGTAGCTTGCCATCACCAGTGTGTGAATGTGTGTGAATGGGTGGATGACTGAATGTAGTGTAAAGCGCTTTGGGGTCCATAGTGACTAAGTAAAGCGCTATACAAATACAGGCCATTTACCATGATACCAGACAGGTCACACTGAGACGATCTAGGCAGATAAAACGTACAACAGTACAGGGGAAAATTATGTAAATATGATTTGGGGCAAACTGTGCCTCAGAAAGTAAAGAGGGTACCAACCTTTATCACACTTTTCTCCATAAGCATTTGGATTCTTACACTCCTGACAGGCAAAGCCAGTGAAACCATCCTGAGAAGGAAGAAGGTTTTTTTTTTTTTTATTTCGAAATATTACCAAGAAAAAACAAGAACAACCAATTACTTGAAATCTCTGGACTTCCCCAGCATTTCTTCCTCAATGTAACACAAAAAATGGGATATTTGTAAGAATAAACCTAAACACAGTCAAATTTCCTTTTGCTGACCAAACAATAACCATCCAAAGCCACTGTCTCTGAATCAGAAGTGTAAATGGACATTAAGATGAAACCATTGTCATGGAGCTAAAAGGTTCCTTCATGTTACTGTTTGCATTTCCACTATGATAACCAACTGCAAAGATGGTTCAAATTAGTTATACAGACAGTTACATGTGGGAATCTATTTAAGAGAACGAGTTTACTTTAAGCTTTCAGTGCGTCTGAGCTGCAGGTGTTTGCGACAAATGGTGCAAACAAAACAGCACAGCCTGCTCTATAGCTGAAAATGCTTTACAAAGGTGCGAAGATCTTTATTAGAAAGCAACTGTACAATAATCAGAAGGCAACACTTCTCTGATTAACCAGACATGTTGTTTTCTCTCCCTCTCTTCATATGTATCTCTCTGTCTCTCTTTCTCTGATATGAAATTTCTCTGGACTTAACCGGCCGAATACACTGCAGCTTTGATGTATTTCAGACTTTCATTTTTCTTCATGTCTTTTGAATTTGTTCTTCTGCTCTTCATCTTGCTTCTGCTAGGATGTTGAGTTTTAAAACTGAAGTCTACATGCTTGTCTTCTCCGAGTTTAAACAATCTGAGGAGTAGATTCATAAAAAGTAAAAAGCAAGAACTTCATACCAAAATGAATGCAAAAAAGTAATCATTGGCATGATGCCATGCTTCTAGCGCAGCCTCTTCTCTCTCTCCCTCTTCGTCTTGTCTCCTTTTCCAGGAACCTCTCTATGTGATGTCTTTCCTGCGGCTCAGCTGCATTCTCCCTGTGACTTTGATTTAAATTCGGATTGTCTACCTGCCTGCCTTACCGTTTAAATTCACAGAATTCACAGAACTCTCCTCTCCCCCTTTGAAAGTAGTCCTGAAATTATTTTGCTGCAAAATTGTTCCTGTGATTCGATGCAATTTTGGCTTCCAGTGATACATATTACCTTGACTTCAGTCAGTCAAGGTAATCAGTATCAGTTGTAACTGAAATTAAATTTAAATTCCAACTGGATTAATCACCCAGTCACAGTGCATGTGAACCAGCCAACATGCAATGCTCAGATGTAACTTGATTGCTACATTTTTTATAAAGTTATGCATGCAAAAACAACAGTAGCCTGATGTTTCACTACAGTGGAAACAAGTGTTTATCTCACTGACAATGGTTCTTTGGTCTGAAATAGTTTTTGGTACTTTGGGGATGGAAACACAGATAATGAGTACTTTTTTCATCCTTGAAACCAGGAAAGAAAAGAAAAGAAAGAAGAAACCAGGACAGGTTTTCACATAAAAGTTAATAATGAATAGCATCTCTATAAATACATAAAAAAGAGAGAAGGGATACCAACATTACAGATGCAGGTTCCATTGCCCAGGTCTCCATCCTGACAGACCCCATTATTGTTGCAGGTCTTCCCAGACCAGCTGGGGCAGGCTGCAGACACACAACAAGTGAGAATGTGTGATTAGAAAAAATCAGAGCTGTTTATTCAATTTGTGCATTGAACATTTATCCAGTTTGAATTCATATAAACATTTGGTAAACTGTGTAAGATAACCTGATGATGTCTATCTTAGAGGTAATCTGTGACTAAGCTGTGCACTATGCGCAGTGTGGGTTTCAGGCATGCCAGACTGCGAGAAAAGTAATGTGTTGAATCACAAATTACACAGAGATAAAAAAAAACATAACACAGCCATTCATCACCAGCTAATGTCCTGCTTTCATGAGTTGAACATGTATCTGAATATTTAAAAGTTTCCAGCAGAACTGTATTACTAAGTAGCTCTGTGAAAGATGGGAAATGTCAGAAGACACACTGTTATCCTCAGCAAAGAGGGAATTAAGGCGGTGCAAGAAGTGGATGAGTTGTACTTACTTGTGTGAACTTACACACCAAGTGTTACTACAATCAAACTTATTATTCAATTAGGAATGCCAACAGGACATAACCACATTTAAACAAGCAAGCAGGTGACGTGATGGAAATGCTTCATCTCTGTTGATCATCTGATCACCAGTTGAAGTAGGCTTAGAAAAACCTGATAGTTAATAGAGCAGAAGAGAAATGCCTTTTTTATTTCTGCTGGATGTTTTAATTATGTCTATAAAAAATAATAAATGTATGAATTTTCATCTTCTACCCTTCCACTGAGTAATCCTAAATCCACTTGTTTCCAGGTCCAAATTTATGTTTATTTATTAGGCTATTTATTTTTGTATTTTTTGAAGTTTTTTACCTTTCTGCACTTTGATTATTTGCAATAAACAAGCAAACAGGTGATGTGTTTATGTAAGTTAGTTAAGTTATGTAAGTGATATGATGATATGGCTGCTGTGACAGCATCATTTCCCAACTCTTGGGGTGAATAAAGCATATGTTATCTTTTTATTAATGGATTCATTCTCTGTCTAAAACATGATGTCTTAGCTCCTCCCCATTTACAAAAATCCTTCTTAGGATTGGGTTTTCCTTATAAACACAGCAGGTGAGTGGGTGGGACTGATATGTTCATGAGATGACCATAAGGTATCTGAAGCCTGAGTGTTTAACTCACAGTGATTACTTGTACATATGCAGATGACCTCCAGCAAATCAACTGACCCAAAGAGAAGCAACAGAGACATGTTCCTTCAGAGACACAGTCCACTCTCTGGTTGAAACTTTCTGGGGGTTGTTTGTTTGTTGTTGGGTTTTGTTTTTTTGTTTTTTACTGGAGCAGGATAATGAGCACAAAACCACCTCAAAGCTTTCCCAGGACAAAGAAATCCAAGGACTGCTGACAGCCGTGGCCTTCACCCCACAGTCGCCTGACCTCAAACCCAATGAACATTCAAGGGGGCACTTAAAGACTGTGAAAGCCAAACACGGCTGACATTACAAGAAGCTCTTTGGAGCACTCTCAGGTTATGGTGGGATAACATCAGTTATCCGTCCATGGTGTTAACAAAATTGGGTGCATGTGCAGCCCTAGTCCTTCCATAAAGTGCACCTACAGGCTCAGGAGCACATTTGCATGACTCACAGCTATTGGTCTTAATTCACAAGCTGTTTTAGCTCCTCCTCCATTAAACTTAATTCTTCGTAAACAGATGTTTTTACTGACAGGTGGGTGGAGCTTCTGTGCTCACAAACAGAACTGTGCATACCCAGTGTTGCCAACTATATTTAGCGAGTTTTCAGACCCTCTTAGCGACTTTTTTTTCTAAAAAGCGACTAGCGAGAAATCTGGCAACTTTTTCTGGTGTTATTGGAGACTTATTTATGACGACACATTTGCCGGTCACTTTTGCCGGTGTTGTGCCAAAAAGTGATTGTCTGCCAAAAACTGATTTCCGGTATTTGCCAAAAACTGATTGCTCGTATTTAAACTGCTATAAGTAACTTGTTGGGCTATAATATGTGAAACATATGTCAAATGCATCCCTCATGGATGACATAAAGTCATCTTGAGCCACAAACAACATTCGTGTAACAAGGTAGAAGCCGCAATCAGTTTTTGGCAGTGACTTTTATATAACCTTTATTTATGCAGTTAAAAAATCTCATTAACATTAAAAATGTCTTTTGTAAGAGTAAGTTGGCCAAGAGGACAGCAGACATGGCAGCAAATATTACAATAGTTCTGTAAAAATATTTTAAGTGGGGATAAAGGACCGGATTGGTTATAATGTAAGTACAATAGCAGAGAGTTGTAAAGATACTTGAAAAACAGATATTGTTTTAATTCTCTATATAACCCCTTTGTAAACCCTATTCACCGAAGTCTATTTACGAACATACGTAAAGATATTACACATAAAAAATACACAGAAACATTGGAAATCACTTTTTGGCAGACAATCACTTTTTGGCACAACACCGGTAAAGGAGCAGGGTTGGAATTGTGACATTAAAAAAACCCAATAATTGCTAAAAGAAATTTAATTTGTAGTTCCAAATAAACTCTAAATGCATTTAGGACGTTTTTTCCTCACTTTATGTCTCTTCCACGATGTTGTTTCTCTCTTCAACAACGTAGGTTACAATTACATTATGCAAATTAGGAGATGACGTCATTTAGCGACTTCTAGCGACTTTTAGGACAACCAATATCACTTTTCAATACTGAGGAGTTGGCAACACTGTGCATACCTGGCTTGACTATATTAGTTATAGCTGCTCTTCCTGACATCACACAGAGCCAACGATCAAATAAAGATTTCCGGGAATGGAGTGTTAAGAGCAGTCTAAATTAATGAGGAGGTAGATAACGAGGAAAACTATAAGTTTATCCTTTAAACCAAAATATAAGCATACGAAACAGTGTCAACAGAGTCATGCTGATTTTTTGGGAGCCAAATATAACAATCGAAATAATCTGTGGCATTGTCTTCTATGATGATTAAGATTTTTGTCAAGTATAAATATATATGACGTTTACTTACTAGACAATGAAATGCGATACATACGTTGTCATTAATGGTGCACTGGTAACAGCTTCACAGTAAAATATGGGCAGTAAACGGCAAACCCACATTAATTAGCTGGACTAACGCTAGCTTTGCTCAGAAGATCTCAAAACTAGCTAAAAGTGCCTTTATGTTGATGACCGTTAAACATTGTTCTAAACAACAGACGTTATCACTTAGTTCTTCTCGTACAAACACAGTACAGCATACATACAACTCAATTTTCCAGAAAAACACATTCACGACTTTATCTTTTTCTACCTGTAACAGATAAATTACACACTGGGACCATAGCGTTATGTGATTGGTGGAGAGTAACAATCAGTCAAACGACCAATCAGTCAGCTGCTCAGTCTTTGTTGGACTCTATAAACCAGAACGCAGATTAGAAAATGAATCAGTATTTTGAAATCATTTATGTTTAAATGCATCATTTAAAGCTGGTTATTAAAGTTATTTCTACCTGTTCTTCACCAGTATCAGAGTTCAGTTCACAGGATAACCTTTAATGTTTAGATGTTTCCTTTTTAGACTTGTGCAAAGTTATGAATTCATAAGAGTAATAATTTTCTGCATTACTCTCTTTATTGTTATTATTATTACTTTTATTGAATCAGGAAGTCCCACAAAGATCAAATCTATTTTACAAGGAAACCTCGCCAAGGCAGCAGCCGTACAAACTCAAAACATCTTCTTTCTTATTTGCAGCAAATTTTTTGCTTTCTGGTCTTTTAGTTTTTATATTATTTGTAGATCTTGATCACCTACACATCTGATAATGTCTCTGACTGAGGTAGGTGGTGCTCATTTGATCCATTTTGTGGAGAAGTTGTACGATCCATTAAACACTGCTGCAGACTAAAGCAGGAAGTCTGGGTTTAAATGTGATCAAAATTATGGCACAAATGATAGTTCATCATATGTACTTTATGTGTGTGTGTGTGTGTGTGTGTGTGTGTGTGTGTGTGTGTGTGTGTGTGTGTGTGTGTGTGTGTGTGTGTGTGTGTGTCTTACAGAGACACAGCGGTCCCCAGTGCTGTTGGCAGCACTTTGGCTGCATGACGTTCTTCACACAGATGTGCTGACATCCCTCCAGCTGCAGCTCCCTGCTGCCGATGTTCACCACATAACTGCAGCACAGCGAGACTCGAGGTAAACAAACTGCCTTAATCATACCACTGCTGCCAGCGCTACTAATTACTACTGCAAATCTCACAGTTAGCATTCATGAGTTATCCTTGAATCTAAGCTTTGCATGATTAATAAAGGTGGAATTATGTTGCTGTCATTATTTATTTAACAGGGAAGGTGCATGTTAAGGTACACTGGCATAAAAATGATGTAAACATGTCAGATTTTGGCAGAAATGTTCATTTACAACAGTGATCCTAGAGGAGGGTCACATGAAACAATATACAATATGCAAAAGACATACAGGTGTACAACATAACACACATAAAGGCATTGCTATAGGTAAGCTGTTCCAGTCTTCACTTCATGTTAACTGTGGGTATGAAGCTTGACCTGTACCTGCAGTTGGTGATGCCAATGCTGCTGAAGCCGCGGGGGCAGCTCGCAGTGATGGCAGCAGCACAGGAAGTGCAGTCTGTTTGTACCTCCAACCTTTGCAGGATATCACATCGACCAGGAGGAGGAGTCTGAGGAAGGAGAGGAGCTGTTTACAGTCTTATACCACTCTCTGTCCACATTTCACAACATCACTGTTAATATGGACAGACCCCTGCAGATTGCATTCTAATACATCTCTGTTTTTAATGAGCAACAATTTGTGATAAGACATCTTCTGATATTCCCACAACTGATATTTATAACTAACAATCACTACTACAGGTAGCATAAAGATAATAACAGGTGTGCCACAGCTGTTGGTAAGATCGATGGTAAGAGTAGTTGTATCATTACAGTAGTAATAATACAACAGTAGTAATTACAGAACCCGTTTTTACACAAAAAGCAGCAAAAAAAAGAAGTGCAAACCAAACTGCATTCTTTAAATGCATTTTAAGACTTGATGTGTGTTTGATTAAATTATAGAGTGCTGGTATCATTTAATCTTGTTTTTACTGAAATAACTGACGATGACGACTGCAAAGAAAAAGAATAAGGAATAAATACCAGCAAATTACAATAACCTCAAACCCTTACATACATATATAAGAGTTTTCACATTAACAGCAGTTCTTTTAGAAAACGATGTTTTAAAGTTGCAGAAGGTTGCCAGTTTTTTTAAACTTATTTAGACAAAGGCTCTCAAACTCTACAGCTGGGATTATTCTCTATACTGATACATCCATCTCTGCTTATCCATGTCAGGGTCGCGGGGGGGCTGGAACCTAACCCAGCTACCGTCACCAATCTGACACAGGGCTAACACAGAGGGACCAACAACGCAATGAACGCACAAGCATCTCAGTATTTTGGATGCCTTAGTAGACTGTAGCAACCAGGAATTGAATCACCAACCTTCTGCAGCACATTCATGATAAAAGCGGAGACCGTGTAGTGGTGAATGGATGTTTTAACTTATCTAAGTGAAGTAAAAACTTGAAAGTACATTCTGCCTCCGATTACTGAAACTGTGTATGACTCCAACTCATAATTGCTGTTTGGTTAAGTTCTGGAGCACTTCATCATTTTCACACAACAAATTCAGTCTGCTGTTTGATGGCCTGCACTGTGAACGTTATTAAAACAGCCCTGGTGATGATACAGCAACGTCAGCAGAGTTTTCTTACTTACAGACAGTGGACTAAATGTTATGGAGTCTGCAGGATGTGGCTCTTTAACACAGAGACATTTTTTTGGGTGTTTAACCCATAGGAGGAACCAAAAGTCAGACCAATGCATCCTTTGTTGCTTCAATACCGGCCAGATATTGCTCAATGGATCCGTTCTATAAACAAACAACTGAGAGACTGTTTGGGAATGGATCTTAAAAATGTAAAAGTGTAAGTGTAAATGAAATATTTCAACAACTGCACACAGTGCCACAGTATTATTTACAATCTCATAATGAACTGTAGTAACTGTAAAAATCCCTCTGATGTTTTATCCAGCAACATTATTGGCATGAATGCAAAACTAGTGACTCAGTTTAAATTACACTTGCCCAACATATTTATTTTAAAGGTTTAGAGGTTTTAGAGGTTTAGTAATAAATTTGATAATGTTGGCTGGGCAACATGAGATAGGGGTAGTTATATAGAATTCAGTGATCATTTACATTATCACTTTTCAGGTGGTCTGGTGGTGGTGGTGGCAAGAAGCAGTGGCAATAGAAGCATGAAGTTCCACTAACATCAAACGTATTTTTCACGGTGGCAGTGATACATTTTGCACAAAACATAGATGTCCAGAACAAGAGAAATACGTCTCCTTCAGCATGTTCCTCAGGTCTTTCTGCAGAGACACTCTGCAGTGTGTAGTAAGAAAACACAGTTTTCCTCGTATCTGCTTTTTGTTCTTTGTTTACATTTAGTTTGGTGATGGAAGACTTTGACCAATCACAGGCTTTTCAGACCAGACCAGAAGTAAAAAATGGCGTTGCAAGGGATGAAGCAGCTGCCTACACTTAACAGAATGGGGTTTAAGTCCTGTATGAGGCCAGAAAAGAGCCTGGCTTCTGAAGCAGGTGCAGATGCTTGTCTGCTGTTAAGGGCTTAAAACAGAGTGATGAGAGCTGGAGGGCAGTTTTCCGTGTTCAAATTGCAGTTTTTATTTGTTTGTTTGTCTGTAGATTTATGCCTCATGCAGCTTTAAACTCAGGATATCTTGTCTGAGTTCATGAACTACTTGAAAATACAATGCCTTTAATATTTGGAATATCTAATTATAATGAACTTTCCAACTTTCCAAAGCGCTATTACTTCTTAGTAAGCTGGTTTAGGGCCTAAATATATCACAGGAATACCTTTTTTAACAGCTTTGTTTGTGTTGGACAGCCGTTTCTATGTACAGACAGATATACCAAACTGTTTTTACTGTGATTAATTATTGTTTGCAATCACTTTTACGCAATAAAGAATCAACCCGACTCGCTGCTCCAGATCTTTCAGCAAAAACATTACAAAGTAGAGATTATTAAAGGAAAATTACCACAAAATCAAAGGCTGTGATATTAAGAAAACATGTGCTTATAAAAATCTGAGAAAAGTTGTAGGAGAGCACAACCTGACAAATGGCCTCACTTTGTAACTTCAAGGTTAAATATTTTGAGTTTCTGAAATTGTTTAGCCCTGTTAAGCTAATGCAACTCTGTTTTAAAAAAAACTCTGGGTCTCATTTGCAGCTTTACTCATTTGTATCATGCAGAGATGTCTATGATGTGGAAGTTCCAGGTTTGCAGTAGCAAATGACTGACTTTACTGTATACACAGTGCCATGCGTAGTTTGTCACACTGAGCTGTTTAATGTTTGTCGTTTATGTTTACAGCTAAGCTGTTTGGGTTGTTTTTTTAATTCACCTTCACATCACAACAACAAAGCTTTAACACCTCTGACAGTCGCAGGTTAAGTTCATCAGTGGTGATACTGAATTAGAGAAAGTATAGTTACTCATGCCTGCATAAAGTAATAGAAATACACTAATATACTGCTTTATTGTCATTAAAAAACAATTACGCATTGAATGCTAACTGATACTAAATTTCAAAACAGTTGTATTGAGTTTTATTTGTGATCAAATAGTGCAGTAAGCATGTAATCATAGTATTTACATCATGGAAACATTTCACTGTTAAGCTCATCTACTTAAAGAAAAGCATGTTACAGTGATCCATAATGTTCATTTTTCTGTGTTCTGCAATTTTCAGATTCAAAATTATTCATTGTTTCCATCATAAATTTTGCTCAAGCTTCTTCAGACTTATTCAATCCAACCTAATTTTATTCACAGAGCACTCTTTAAAAACAAGAGTGCTGTACAAAGCGCCAAAACACGCCACAACAAATCAATAAAAAAATAAACAAGAAGGTAAGGACACACCACTCTCATTCTAAATTCAAAGCCAGGGAATAAAAATCAGTTTTAAAATGTGATTTTAAAACAGGCAATGAGGGGCCATCCTAACATGGGGAGGGAGATCACCCCACAGTTTGGGGGCGAATAGCTAAAAAAAGTCGATCTCCACTGGTTTTCAGCTGACCTCAGTGGCCTTGAGAGAGTGTATGGAGTCAGAAGCTCAGATATGTGCAGTGGTGCTGATTCATTAAAGGTTTTTAAAATAAATTTAAAAAACATCTTAAAAAGGGGTAATGGAGGGAGGTGTTAACCATACAGTTACATTTTTGACATTTGCATCCATGATTCAAAGACAGTAGGTGGTACATGACCTCAGCGTGGTGGTGTAGTTGGAGGTGTGTTACCTGTTGTTTCACTGAAGGTAGCAAGCAGAGCAGTGGCAGCAGCAGCAGCAGCAGCAGCATGGCTCAAAGTCTCACATCCAGATACAAAAACAAACCTACTAATCCTCCTCAGTAAGCAAAACAAAAATCAGTTAAAAATAATATAAGAATATGTCCAGAGAGTTGTAACTAAACTCGTTTCCTCGCTCCCGTGTCAGCGCTGAACTTCAAATAAAACCTGAACTACTAACTACAGGAAAAAATACAGATAGCAACATCCTCTGTGCAGGAAAAACAAAACGATTAGAACACAATAGCCAAGTATTCCTCAGATAATGATTGGGAAAGCTGAAGTAACCTGCTGCTTAAAGACGTGGAAACGCTGGAAAAATGTAAGCACTTAGTGAAAAAAAAATCCAAAAAAATACACAGGGTTGATCCAACCAGCAATTAACAGCAGGCTCACTTGGGACGCTGTTATGTGGGAAATGACCAACAAACAACAGCAAACGAATGAACTCTGAGCTCAGCGTGCAGCGAGGCAGAGAGGCTGCAGCAACTACTTGTGTCACGTCTTTCCTCCCTAATCTAGGAAGAGAAAGAAAGAGGAAAAAGCACACAAAGTGGTAGAATAGGAACCTCCCAGTAGGAAGGTCATCACCTCCTACCACTCCCCCAGTAACAGCAGAGACACTTGTTTTATTCACAAAAGAATGAGCAATATAGTCGCACACAAACACACCCATGGAAATCAACTGTGATGACTTCAGACCACAGATTCACAAACAGCCATGAGATAAACATCAAAACAGAACTTTACTTTAGTTAAAGATATCAAAAAGCTGGACAGTATGCAGTGAAGTTTTCCATTTTTCCATTTTCTGTCTGCACAGACATACCCAGACATCCCTCTCCCTGGTCACCCCCTCTCCCCAGGAAGAGCTGGAGGAAGTGAATTGCCACTGTGTGCCCTAGATCCTCTGGGGGTATGTTTTTACGGAGGATTTGCCTTTCCCAAGGCAAAATGGCTCTTAGTGACGAGCCAGACCATGTGGAAAAGATATATATAAATCTTAGAAAGTTTGTATCTGTCTTGTGTGAAACTTGTATGAAAAGCATACAAGAGTGAAAACAGATATAAGATCCCTTGAAAAATTATATAATGAAACTTGTATGTTTTGGATACTTACTAAAACAATATATGAAAGTAATGAGAAAGTGGCCACTTTCATATAAGCCTTACATGATTCACTATATGAAGTAGGCCACATCTTATGCAAGTCTTTTGTAAGTTTTTACTATTTCTTTTCCATATGGGAGACCAAATGTGATTCATAAGACCCTAATGGCAGAGATAACTTTGCACTGACAGGGGTCCCACCTAGGAGCCAGGTCTGTGGACCCTCCACCCACAGGAGGGGTTGTAGGTTGCAGTGAGGCCTTGGTGGTCTGATCTCCGGTTACTGAAACTGAAATAGTGAAATCCTAATATACTCTTATCCAAGGTTATTATTATCATTAACTAAAACGAAACTACAAACTAAAAGTAGGTGTTAAAAATAACTTGTTTATAAACATACAAAGTACTCTATAAAGTAACTGAAATGATACTATCAGCTTAGACAAAGACCTAAGGAAATAATAAAAATAAGCAGGAAATGTATTCAGTTTCAGTCAGTGAGGTCAGATTTGTCAACACGGCAATGCTTATAAAACTTTGGCTCATTTGTTCACTTGGATATATAACAGGAAGTGTAGTAACGTCTGCTCAAAACTTCTTTAATCTTGTCCCTAAAAATACCACAAACACACCTGTTAAAAACACAAAAACTAAAACTTTCAATGAACCTTAAAAAAAAAAAAAATCAATAGAACCTAAAAAACATTTTTAAAAAAACCACAAATTAAAAAAATCTAATTCACGCTGTAAAATAACTAAAACTAAACTGAAATTAAGATTCAAATCATTAACAATGAAATAAAAACAATATTAATGGCAATATGTATAAAACTATATGTAATGAACCGC